TTCAACTCTTCTGTCAAATTGCGTTTCCTAAAAAGTGAGATTCCTACCTGTAGAAAACGTTTATGAGAAAATCTGAATCGATCGAAGTTGGGCTGTTTGAATTTTTCAACTATTTGGAATGTTGAAAAACAAAAGGAGAAAATAATACTGTTACTCTACCGACCCAAACATAAACATCAAACAAAAACATGTAGTATCAAGCTAATCTTGGTAATTCCAATCGGTGTTTTAAATTTTATTTCATCATTTTTTCATTTTTTTTTTGTTACCTTTTCAGAATATTGTCATAATTTTGGCCTCTTTTATTGTGCTCTAAAGTTACAATTTTGGCGGCAGACTTGGTAACTAGCTTAATTAAATTGACGTAAATCTTATTTTGCCGGCCACTTTAAATAAACTGAAATTGGAAATTAAAACAAACACTAAAGAAAAAAGAAATAAACAAGTTACAAGCTGGAAGTGTGCCGTTATATGTGGAAAGAACGTTGCTTTTTACTGCCGCTTTAAGGGGAAATTAGACAGTCCTCATTTGATTTCAACTAAAGCTGAAACACATAAGGCAATAGTAGTAATAAACAAAATAAAAGACACCATTATTTCTTTCGTTTTTTTAAAATTATTCATTGTTGATTTTGTAAACATGAGAAGTACAGTGTCAGCGAAACCTTTGAACAGCATAAACTTGAAATTAAATCACAAAATAACAAACATCGAGAAACCACTCATCACATACTAAGCGACTACTTGTCGCCACTAATATAATACTAATAAATACAAACCTGCCCGCAAGCTAGACAAGAGAAAAGAACATCTCAATCTAACTATCATCTGTCATTTTATATTCGTTTTTCCAACCACCTTCAAGCGAGTAGCGACTGATATTTTATTTTGTTGCATTTAACGCTTCCCCTTTAAGGTAGCAGTGTATTAAATAATCATTACTTGAATCGCAATACGTGATGCACTTAATCACAACAAGTACACACAACCGATCAATTGAGTTTGTACGTGCATGTCTTGTTTGTTAGGAGTCTGCGGGGGCTTTTCATAAAATACAACGTCAAAGAAAGATAACGATAAGTAACAATTGGACGGCGAAGACATGCACAAACAGACGATAAAAAAAACAAAAAACAAAAAAAAACCAAAAACATTGAACAGGAACTGATTAAGTAACAATCAAAATACTATACAGGCAAAAACTAACGAGTTAGTTTTTGCCTGTATATGTTTATCTAAATCACTGTTGATTAGAATCAAAATAATAGCGGCTAGTTCACCGTGAGGAGACTTTAGGGCTGAATAGAACTGACACAATTAAGTTTGTGTGCTTTTTTTCTTTCAGAGAGAAGTGACAAATTTTTTACAAGCTTATCACGAGATCATTGCTGTATGCAATCAGTGTTTGCATCTTAACTGAAGAAGAAAAAGATGAAAACAAGATTTAATAGTTCTGGTACACCGGGAGAATTCCCAACCCTAAATTCATCAATGACAAACTGGAACACGGCGACAACGCAGGATTCCGAATTGATGACGGCAGATTTGAGAGCGCTTAAGCTGACTCTGTACGTGATTATCTTCCTTGTAAGTGCAGTCGGTAATTCTCTTGTCTGCACAGTTATTTTACGAAGGAAAAAGATGAAAACAGTCACAAACTACTTCATATTGAACCTAGCCATTGCGGACTTGACACTGACTTGCATCTGTATTCCTTTCGATATTCCCGTGCAAGAAATGAACAACAAATGGCCATATGGGGCGCTGCTGTGTAAAGTTATATACCCACTACAAACGTCGGCACTTTTTGCATCCATATACACCCTAACGGCTGTCAGCTTATCGCGTTACTGGGCGATAAACCACCCACTTCGTCAGCAGCTTACCATCAAAAACGCCAAATGGATCATCTTCGGAATATGGATTGCGTCGCTGATTTCGGTCACACCGTACACGAGCGTCTTGAAAAAGAACGATGAATCAGGCCAGTGCGACGAGAATTGGCCTAGTGCGAGTGCAAGAAAAACTTACACGGCTTGCCTATTTGTCTTTGAATACCTCTTCCCGTTGACCGTAATTGCGGGTGCATACGTCAGCATCGGTTGGGAGCTTGCCCGACGCGCAAGGAACGGCAATCGTTACTTGCAAGATCTTCAAGCGGACGAAGCGAAGAAAGTCGTGCGCATGCTTAAAGTAGTGACGCTGATGTTTGCGGTGTGCGTTTTGCCAACCAACGTTATGTGGCTTTGGCTGGACTTTGGCAACGCTGCTCAATACGATAAATTCTGGGACCTTGTTGCTTTCTGCAACATAATAACGTTTGCAAACAGTGCAGCCAATCCAATTTGCTATACCATCCTAAACGAAAGCTATCGTAATGCGTTCAAAGATCATCTGTCAAAAATATTTTACAAGATCGTCGGAAGGCCTACTGGGGTTCGAGAGGAATTTGCGAACATCGCTGAGGGCCAAAAGAAAACTCGAACTGCTACAATGAGTTCTGCTTTGTTATAACCATAAAAAAGGTCTGCTTTTTCTTTGTCCTTGGGCCCTGCTATGAAATCCTCACATTCTGTAAGACACAATCCATTAACATTTGGCATTTCATGCCAGCCATCGGTGCTACCCTCTGTACACCCCCAGGAATTCTTGACTGCTGTACATTCAACTTATGAATATTCGTTTTTAACATCGTGGTGGACACCGTAAAGCGTAATTTGATGAGGTTGTTTCTTTCAGTCTTATGCATAATCTTACTTTATTATTTTTATTATTATTATTATTTTTTTAGATCAGCTCTGTAAAAAGAATACTGACCAGGGCGTCCGTACGACATTTTTTGGGGAACTAAGTCATGTTGCCAAGCAATATATTGGCACTTAG